TGTCGACCGCGCTGGAGGCGACGCGGCCGGGCGGGAGGGTGTGCCTGGTGGGGATGGGGCACAACGAGATGACGGTGCCGCTGACGTCGGCGGCGATCCGGGAGGTGGACGTGGTGGGGATCTTCCGCTACAAGGACACGTGGCCGCTGTGCCTCGAGTTCCTGCGGAGCGGCAAGATCGACGTGAAGCCGCTCATCACGCACAGGTTCGGCTTCTCGCAGGGGGAGGTGGAGGAGGCCTTCGAGGTCAGCGCGCGCGGCCGCGACGCCATCAAGGTCATGTTCAACCTCTAGACATCCAGGCTGCTACTGTTGCTAGGGATTCAAGCCATGCTTGGACTGGAGCTGCGTGCGTGCATGCCAGCATGTCCGCGTGCGCGCGGTGTGTTGTGTGTCGTGAAACAAAATAAAATGACTGTGCAGACTGATTTCTATCGTGAAACTGGGATGTCAAAGTTAGAAGGGAGAGAGGGATTTGGTGGAATAGTTGTTGTATTGCTTGAGTCTCGCGGGCATATATATAGAAGTACAAAGATCAATTTGGAGTACAAGACAAGGCAGGACCAAATCCTAGTCTATCCTATACTTCCTAATAATCTTATGCTCAACATCCCCCCGCAGTCACAACGGTAGCGACGCAGACAATGAGACTGGAGAAGTATCCGAAGGCAAACCGACAGACACCCCCCACAGTCGTAACGGTCGACGCATCGTGGAAGTCGTGACTGGAGTGGAAACCGACGAGGTTGCTCAAGCAGGCGGTAGCCCTTTGTGTCGTTTGTCGATGTAGCTGAGAGCGTGTGTGATGGAGCCGTGGTCGAGGTAGCCGTGCGAAAAATGCCGTGGTCGATGTCGAGTCAGGGTGGCCGGTGTCGAGGAAGTCGCCGTGGAGCCGCGGGCGCAAGGGGGCGCCGAGTTAGCATGGGCGCAGTGGTGTCGAAGTAGTGGTGTGCCGGAGAGGAGATGTTGACGACGCGTCGCGACGGGTTTGCCAAGCCCGGGGACACATCGTAGACGAAGGCACGCACCGGTGTTGCCAGCACCGGGCATGCGTAGACGGACGAAGACGAAGTTGACGAAGCACCGCACCAGGCTTGCCAGGCCCGGGGACACGTCGTGGACGAAGGCACGCTGCGGTGTTGCCAGCACCAGGCATGCGGAGACTAGGACCTGCACGAGCTGTATGCCATGTCGAAGAAGTTGGAGGGCCAGCAGAGAAGAACTCGACGACGTTTGCGGCGTCCATCGGCGCGGGGCCAATGTCACCAACGGTGGTCGGAGTAGACGAAGTGGTCGGGGTAGATGACGGCGACGCTGACGACGGGCCTGTGCTGGATGAAGACGAAGGAGGTGGACGGGCGACGGCGGCGGCGGCCAAAGAAGAGCGGCGGCGGCAGCCTGACGGCGGCGGCGGCGGCTAGGTTAGGAGTGCGGCGGCGGGTGCTCGAAATAGGCGAAGAACCCTGACAATGTGACGAATACCGGTGCAGACAGTGGCGTTCCCTCGCCAAGGGAGACGGCGCGGCGCATACCACGGGAGGTCGACGCGCGGGGACAACAGAGTGGACCGCGGGCCGCGGCGCTACGACCCGAAGGGGCGCCGCAGCGGGGGCAGGCGGGTCGGGGCGACGGCGGGAAGACCTCTGGGCAGCGGCGGGGACCGCGGGCCGCGGCGTTGCGGCCCAAAGGGGCGACACAACGGCGGTTCGCGAGTCGGTGCAATCGCGGGGACGGCCTCGG